ATACCCTCTCTCTCTCTCTCTCTCTCTCTCTCTCTCTCTCTCTCTCTCTCTCTCTCTCTCTCTCTCTCTCTCTCTCTCTCTCTCTCTCTGACTGTCTCTCCCTCTCTCTCGCTCTCTTCTTAATATAAGCACTAAGTTCATACTGTCAGTCGACATACTACACAAAGCACTGCCGAGTTACGAACAAAAATGGAAACAATCCTAAAGTTTCGTTCGCAAACCAGTTCTCAAAGTCGAGTTTGCTTTGATGGTCACAAAAAACCTCCAAACAGTCAGCATACGTTAGATAACACCGGATGTGAATAATAGACTGTTATTCAGATTCTCCTGATAACACTATAACACAATAACCATCTAGCGACAACATATCGGTAATGCTAGAAAACACCAGCAGATTTATACCGTGTGTGTACGTGTGTGCGCGCGAGTGCGTGTACATATGAAACCTACTGTAATATTATACAATTTTAATAGCAAACTACAAAACACGTTTTATGGGTTAGCGTCAATGCTACTTACTGATGCAAGACAGTAGCATCTATAATAATATATACATGTCTACATCATTTACAATTGCTACAGATTTATTACATATAAAAACATTGAATTTTGGGCACTTTTGACACATATACTCGCCTATAGCAAATACATTGTACTCCGTTACTTTTATTCGTGAAAAACGTTCTAGTAAGATGTAAATTAAGTGACTGATATTCATCTGATTTATTCCGCATATACGCATTTTATAACTATTTTTCACGCGAGATGGCGCCAAAGAGTCATATTTGAGCATAGAAGAGCGAACTACTATTAAATCCTCCATATGATCCTATACTTAAAATACACATGGCTCACACGCACCCCACTCACACGCACTCACACGCACACATGGCTCACACGCACCCGGTGAAATAAGAAGGTCATACATTGCCAGAAGCGTGTTCATAACATAGAAATAAATGTTACCATATATGCGATATCGATATAGAATAAGCACCGATGCCTACGGTAAGATACAATCACACACACGCACCGGACGCACGCACGCACGCACAATGATCAGTCATGAACTGGAACATGAAATGAATATCATATTGCTCTTTAAATTCTGCGACTTGGAATAATTAAATCATTATAAGAGCATCGATTAATAAAATTCCCGTACATCTATATACTATTGGGGGGGGGGGGTTAATTAGTTAATAATACTGATACCAAATCAAGAGCAGCTACTATAACAGTTGAACGATTATAGTTGATGGACCCGTAATACCATCAGGGGTCTTCTCTTGTAAGACAATTTACCATTACTACTACGCAAATGTGGAGCTTACATATGATCGCATGTCTGATGATGCAACCAAAGCGTGATTTTTCCACATTTACTTTTTCTCGAGAACAACAAAGTCTGCAAGGTCAGTAACAGTGCTTACAATAAACAATAAATTATAAACAAGTGAAAACAAGTTATTGACAGAGAACAACCTTCTTATATTAACAGAGAAATTTCCATTGAATATGAAATGGAATTTATAATTTTTGAAAAAGAGCTATATTAGCTTTTTATATAAATATATAAAAGAATATATAATGAAGTGCTATATTGAAGTGCTACATGTAGACTGATAGAGCTACTATTTTCCAGATTTAGTCTACCTAAACACAAACATAAAACAACTATGTCTTTCCAGAAGGGTTTAACTTTGGCCCTGGCCATCAACAATTATACGTTTTTTACACTGGAGGGAATATTGTGTGGGATAACTACTAATATTTTAGACAACATCAAACCTGTTAATATTTTAGTTGCAATTCCCTGCAGTTTTTAGATATTTCACTAAATAATTAATAGTAACCCATACTGAACATCACACTACAGATATACATTGCGTGAGAAATTCTAATACCAATAATGCATATACGTCACTGATATATGTTAGAGTCCAACTTTAAATGCCACATTTCTGGTAGCTTGACCCTTTCCTTCCGGTATAGGAGATAGGCCTTCTCATGTAAACATAAAACCAAAACAAAGTGTTAGAATATATATTACTGAATTAAGTTAATAACATTGTTATCATACGAATTGTGTTAACAACATCATCATCCTACTTCTGATGTATTTTATACATGTACTCGTGACCTACTTAAATGATAGCTTTGCTTTTTAGTTTTCGAACAACCCATTTTAGTTACGTAGTTTACTTTTACCGTACTGTACCTATTTAGAAAATATAAGATAGGAGCAGTTACCAATACAATCTAAACGATTTCATTGTTCCAGTCATTCAGACAATGGGCCACACAACAGAAACATTGCGCATCTCCGGTGTAACTGAATTTCTGGTTTTCAGAAACAAACGTAATTATGCCTATTATTCTATTATGCTTATTGCTAGTATATATCATTGGTATGTGCCTATAATATGAATATACGTACATACATACGTACGCACGTACATACGTAACACAAAAACCAACAAAAATCGTAACAACAACGATACAAATTCTAAACACACAATCCAACGTAGAAACAATATTACAGACATTAGACATGATATGGATACATACATACACACGTGCATTGTGCATGTGTATAATATTATAGCTACGTTCGATTGCATGTTCGGATTAAAGGATGGCGATCCATGTGTTACCAGGGGACGGACTTGTATTCCTCACGGAGCTGGTGGGAGTGCTGGCAGCGGACACTGCAGTGACAGCCTCCCCTTCATGCTGCGTCTCAGATGCATAGTTCTACGAGACAACAACACGGGCGGTGTTACAATGGTACGCCATAAGCTGGGTTTACACAATCAACGTTCTGTTGAAAAGTTGATGAGTTTGAGTTGATCAAATTTTCGACTAATCGACGGAAAGTCGGCAGTGTAGACGTACAATTTGAGTGCTCAACTGGTTGGTATCAACTGGTTGAGAGATTAAAACATGTTCCATTTTTTTCAACTTTTGGTCAGCAAGTTGATCAAGTTTTTGCCACTCAGCCACTTTGATAATAGCAATCAGGAGGTGTGTCCCTCCACCCAGGAGGGGAGCTAGTTTTTGCTATCGGCGCCACACTGGCACGAATTAATACAGGGTGCGAAATTAATGCGAGTCCGGAGTCAAATACTCCCTGATTTGACATATGCAGGAGTGAAAATTCTGCTATATACCAACTAGTTCGTTCCAGAGCACGGCCACGCGGAATTGCCGGATTTTTTTAGGACTGCGGACTCCCTCTTTTTGAGGGTAGGGAGTCCGTGGGACTCGCTTGTTTAAAAGATAATTTCTACCCCTGTTAATACATGCAAAAATGCGTACCCACGTCGCACGGCGCGCACACTGTGGATCAAATGTTGAAACGTTTGGCGACTCTTGGTCGATTACGTAAAAATGTGAACATCTGATAGAAAGGAAAAGTTGATAGAACGTTGAAAAGTTTATCATCTCGTTGACTTTTGCATAGTGTAAACCCAGCCTTAGCCTGCCTTCACAAGTGTTTGTGTCCTCCTCATCACTATGGCATAACTTTATAAGTGCTTTACACGCAGAGGAACTCGCACACAACGTGCATGCCCAGATTGTATCAACAAAGGTAAACAAGTTTTTAAATGAATGCAATTTTCTAATTACTACCTAAATGCTGAAATAAAAAGGTTGATAAATACACCAACCAAGAAAACCTGACCGACATTTATGAGCCAGGCTCACGACTTCTAAATCAATTGTTTATAGATGTTGTTGTATATGTTGTGGTATAGACAAAACTTGCCTGATCCTTCACTACCGACCTTCCTTCCGACTAGATTGCAATTTATTTGATAACCTGCACGGTGGCGCCACCTTTTGGTCCAAGAAAAATATCAAAGTACAACGAAATGAACATTCAAAACCTAAAGTCCAAAAGATTGAATGGTCGCACCTCATGTGGAGCAAATCGAACAGACTTTCTCGCATTCATGATGCTACTTGGCACAACCGAAGACGTTGCAGCTGGTTTCAGCTTTCCCTGTGCATCTACAAGACCACAGCAATGACGTGAATGCATCTCGATTCTCTACTGATGCCCAGCATATCATCATTGAAGCTACTCCCACAATGTTGGAAAAAAGACCAGCAAGGAATTGCCGTACTAAAAATACAAAATGACAAACTACCAATGCTTTGCTGGTCTTTTTCCAACATTGTGGGAATAGCTTCAATGATGATATGCTGGGCATCAGTAGAGAATCGAGATGCATTCACGTCATTGCTTACTGCAACATTGCAAAACCAGTAAAATTACTTATAAAAAATGTTAACACAAGTTAGTAATTGATGCCGAGGTCACTGGGTGAAAAGGCGGAACTTTCAAACTGCATTAAAAATATTAAAAAATCCGAATTTAAACATTTAAACATTTAAAAATTTCATTATAACTATGCAACTGTATTATCTGCAAGAAAACTACATATAAGCGGTTTATAAGTGTCAGTTCAGCCAAGGCACCAGTTACATGATGCCATTAATATTACGCATGGCTTTCAAGCTAGATGAATCATATCTATAAAGATTACCTAGTTGCTGCCTCCTTAGGGCATCAATCTGTGCAGAAATCATCTGTACTCCAGCCTTGCCCCCTTCCCTTGCTACCGGAGCCAATCTCTGTGCAGTTTCTGCAGTGAAATATAATATAATAAAATATATTATCTAATAATATATGCCTCACTTCCTTGTCAACAGCACACGTTGCTTCATGCATGCTTCATTGTTCATGTTAATCCACATTTTTTTCGGCTCGCCACCCGTTTGTCACGAGAAGATGGGTGGCAACAGAAACTCTGACACTTTAGGGAAGGAACATAGACACAAAAGTTCTGTCACACATTTTTGAGCATCTTAAGCAATCTCATTTTCATCGTTCAAGAAACATGAAGAGCTGTAGTAGTACATTTAGTTATGTTTAATTTTTAAGCAAAATATCCTATACTATCGAGAGCTGGTATTTGCCACCGTCATCTACCAAGTTAACCTGTTTTTGAATCTTTATAATCTCTCCCGCCATAGATATTTCCACGCATTCACACTGACAGTAAAAAATTACCACTATTAAAAGCAAATGAAAGTGTCAATGACACTATAGCTCACCTCGGGTGTGATAGAAGAGGGAGATGATATTTAAAATTTGGTAAGTGTTTTATTTATGACGGACCAAAATGCGATCAAATGTCCTTATTCCCTGTTTTATACTAATAGAAATTTCACTGTTTTGTTTCAGGGTTAGTTTTGATGCGAAAATAAATGTTTCAGATCTGAAAGTCTGAATCTGGGCAAGAGATGGCGGCTACGCTAAATGATCGGCCATTTCTTGGTTTTCGAATTATCGCGCAAATAAAAGCAATAAAATATTCAGTCAAATTACTGTAAACGAAGATCTAAAACACATATCACACTCGGTATGATTAGGGTGCAAATCCCTTTAGCCACCTTATATCACGAAGTGACTGCCACAGATTTCTGTGTATCATCCATGATCAGCAGACTTTCCTTATATCAAGTATTGATGGCAGCAAATGTTAACTGCCGCACATAGCCATGCTAAAAAAGCGCCACCTATCGACAAAAAATATCTACTATTATACACTAAAAATTTAGTTGTGTATTTTTATTTTATTGATATGAATTTATTTATTATACTAAACTATTAATTACTATTTACCAATTACACTATTTGTTTATTAAGTCACACGATTAATTACTAATTACCGTTAATTACTAATTACACTATTAATAACTATATTAATTACGAGAGAGGAAGAGGAAGACCATGATGGTTAGAGGGAGAGAGGAACTCCGTGATGGTTAAGAGGAGAGAGGAAGCCGTGATGGTTAAGAGAGAGAGAGGAAGCCTGAGGGTTAGAGAGAGAGAGGAAGCCCATGAGGGTTACGAGAGAGAGAGAGGAAAGCCATGAGGGTTAGAGGGAGAGAGGAAGCCGTAAGGTTAGAGGAGAGAGGAAGCCAGAGGGTTAGAAGTGAAGAGGTAAGCCGTGACTGGTTAGAGGGACAGAAGAAAGCCGTTTATGGTAGGGAGAGAGGAAGCGTTTTTTAATAGAGAGAGAGGAAGCCGTATCTTATAGGGAGAGAGGAAGCGCGTGATGGTTACAGGAGAGAGGAAGCCGTGATGGTTAGAGGAGAAGAGGAAGCCATGAGGGTTAGAGGGAGGAGAAGCCCGGTGATGGTTATAGGGAAAGCAGGAAAGCCGTTATGGGTAGAGGGGGAAGGAAGCGCGTGGATTGGTATAGAGAGAGAGGAAGCCGTGATCGTTAAAGAGAGAGAGGAAAGCCGTGAATGTGGTTAGAGAGAGAGGAAGCCATGAGGGTTAGAGAGAGAGGAAGCCCTGTGATCTTTAGAGGGGAGAGGAAGCCGTGATGGTTAGAGGAAGAGAGGAATGCTGTCTGGTTAGAGGAGAGAGGAACGGGGGATAGCCGCGACATGCCTGAGAGAGATAGGGAAGAAGCCGTGGATGTAGAGAGAGAGAGGAAGGCCAATGATGGTTAGAAGCTGAGAGAGGAACCATGAGGGTTAGGGGAGAGAGGAAGCCATGATGTTAGAGGGGAGAGAGGAACCGTGATGGTTAGCAGGGAGAGAGGAACGCCATGAGGGTTAGAGGGAGAGAGAAGGGGGGAGCCGTGATATACACTATTCTGTGCATCACCTCGTGATACTTTGTCAGGTATACGGTCGTAAACTGAACTTGTGTTTTTAAAAAAGTGCCAATCTGTGCATCATCTCGTGAATTTACACTAATATCTGTGTCATCATCTCGTGATGTACACTTACCCTTCTGTGCAATCACCTCGTGATACTTTCAGGTATCGGTGCGTAACTGAACTTGTGTTTTAAAAGGCCAATCTGTGCATCATCTCGTGATGTACACTATCTCTGTGCATCATCTCGTGATGTACACTAATTCTGCTGCATCATCTCAGTGATGTAACATTATTCTGTGCATCAACCTCGTGATGACTTTGTCGAGGCTATACGTGCGTAAATGGAACTTGTGTTTTTAAAGAGGCCATCTGTGCATCATCTCGTGATGTAAATCTGTGCATCACCCGCTCGTGATACTTGTCAGGAGAGAGGAAGCCGCTGATGGTTAGAGGAGAGAAGGAAGGCGTGATGGTAGAGGGAGAGAGAGGAAGCCATAAAAGGGTAGAGAGAGAGAGAGGAAGCCATGAGGTTAGAGGGAGAGAGGAAGCGTGATGTTAGAGGAGAGAGGAACCGTGATGTTAGGGAGAGTAAGTGAAGCGCATGAGGGTTAGAGGGAGAGAGGAAGCCGTGATGGTTAGAGGGAGAGAGGAACCATGAGGGTTTAGAGAGAGAGAGGAAGCCGTGATGGTTAAGAGGGAAAGAGGAACCGTTATTGGTTAAGGGAGAGGGAAAGCCGTGATGGTTATAGAGAGAGAAGGAGCCGTGATCGTTACGAGGAGACGAGGAAGCCGTAATGGTTAGAGGGAAGGAGGAGCCGTGATGGTTAGAGGGAGAGAGGAAGCATGAGGTTAGAGGGAGAGAGGAAGCGTAAATGGTTAGAGGAAGAGAGGAAGGGGAAAGCCCGCGACATGCTGAGAGAGGAAGGGGGAAGCCGGCGACATGCTCGAGAGAGGAAGGGAGAAGCCGTGATGTAAGAGAGAGGTAGGAAGCCATGAGGTTAGAGCGAGAGAGGAACCATGAGGGTTAGAGGGAGAGAGGTAAACCACTGATGGTTCGAGGAGAAAGGGAAGGCCGTGATTGGTTAGAGGGAGAGAGGAATCTATGAGGGTTAGAGGAGAGAGGAAGGGGGAGCCCGTGATGGCTGGGGGGGGGGGGAGAGAGATGAGCAGGGGAGCGTGATATACACGATTCGTGGCATCACGCTCGTGATACTTGTCAGGTAACGGTGCGTGAAACGAACTTTGTGTTTTTAAAAAGGCCAATCTGTGCATCATCTCGTGGATGTAACACTATTTCTGTGCATCAATCTCGTGATGTACCTATTCTGTGCATCACTCGCTATACTTGTCAGGTATAACGGTGCGTAAACTGAACTGTGTTTTTAAAGAGGCCAATCTGTGCATCATCTCGTGATGTACACTATTCCCGTGCATACACTCGTGATACCTTGTCAGGAGAGAGAAGCGCGTGATGGTTAGAGGGAGAGAGGAAGCCGTGAGGTAGAGGGAGAGAGAGGAAGCCATGAGCGGTAGAGAGAGAGAAAAAGCAGAGGAAGCGCATGAGGGTTAGAGTAGAGAGGAAGCCGTGATGGTTAGAGGGAGAATGGAAGCGTGATAGCGTTAGAGGAGAGAGGAAGGGGGAAGCCGCGAAACATGCCTGGAGAGAGGAAGGGGGGGAAGCCGCGACAATGCCTGAGAGAGAACGGGAGAAGCCGTGATGTTTAGCAGAGAGAGGCCAAGCGATCACGGCTGGCCCCACTTCTACTCTCCTCCCAAGCTCATGCACCGGCTTCCTCTCTCTCTAACGCCCTCATGCTCTCTCCCTCTAACCATCATGGCTTCCTCTCTCCCTCTAACGCTCATGGCTTCCTATGCTCTCTACCTCTCTAACCCTCATCGCTTCCTCTCTCTCCCTCTAACCATCCAGCGGCTTCACCCTCTCCTCCCCTCTATAGCCATCACGGCTTCCTCTCTCCCTCATAACAGATGCACGGCTTCCTCTCCTCTTATAACCATCACGACTTCCTCTCTCATTTTAACCATCAATGGCTTCGTTCTCTCCCTCTAACGTTACGGCTTCCTCTCTCCCTCTAACAATCATGGCTTCCTCTCTCGGACTCAACCATCACGGCTGTCCTCTCTCCCTCTAACCCAAGTCATGTCCTCTCTCGCTCTAACCATCATGGCTTCCTCTCTCCCTCTAACGCTCATGGCTTCCTCTCATCTCTCGTCATTACCACCTGCATGGCTTCCTCTCTCTCGGCATTCTAACCATCGCACGGCGTTCCTCTCTCGCCTCTAAACCATCACGCGCTTCCCTCTCTCCTCTACGATCACGGCTTCCTCTCTCATCTAACCGCATCATGGCTTCCTCTCTCCTCTAACTGTACGCGCTTCCTCTCTCCCTCTAACAATCATGGCGTTCCTCTGGCTCCCTCTAAACCATCACGGCTTCTCTCTCCCTCTAACCGCTCATGGCTTTCCTCCGTCTATCTCTAACCCCACTGGGCTTCCCTCATCTCTCTCTAACCCTCATTGGCTTCCTCTTCTCCTCTAACCATCACGGCTTCCTCTCTCTCCTCTAACCAATCACGCTTTCCTCTTCCTGACAAGGTATCACGATGGTGATGCACAGAATAAGTGTACATCAACGAAGATGATGCACAGTATTGGCCTCTTAAAAACACAAGTTCAGTTTACGCGCACCGGTAGTACGCTGACAAAGTATACGAGGTGATGCACAGAAATAGTGTAGCATCACGAGATGATGCACGAATAGTGTACATCACGAGATATGCACAGATTGGCCTTTAATAAACACAAGGTCAGTTACGTGCACACGATACCTGAAAGTATCACCACGCAGGTGATGCACAGAATAGTGTACTATCAGCGCGGCTCTCCCCTTGCTTAATCCTCTAAACCTCATGGCTTCCTCTCTCCTCTAACCATCAACGGCTTCCTCTCTCG